TAATCGCCAGCGATCGCTAAGAGAAGAGTTGATTTTCCGCTGCCTACTGGCCCGGTGACAACTGTCAAGGCTCCTGATGCAGCAATGAATTCCACATCTTCAAGGATAAGGTCGTCCTTCCTCTTCATTTCCGTAGACTTTAAACTGGACACGCATAAAGTTCCTGGCTCAGATGGGTTCACCCTCTGATCAGTAACAGGGCTTTCCTGTGATTTCTCCGACTGATCTTTTATCACTCTAAAATCCCTCTGTAACTTAACGGACATTTCCTCTGGCGCTATACCTTTGTCTTCTTTACTCTGATCTCCCGAGATACATAGCAAATCTTCTAAGATGAGAAACTCTTCTATCCTGCCGAGTGATACATATGCTTCATGTGTCTCCACTACACCATATCCAATATCAAGGGAAAAACAAAGTCTTAGCAAGTTCATGTACATTAGAAGCATAAAAGCATTGACAGGAGTAAGATGATGACCAGTCAGTAGCAGAGAAATAACGGACAGCAGGACAGGTATTGAAGTATACTCCAAGGCAGCCAAACCTGAGAGAATAACACTTTTCTTTCGGATGATGCTGATTTCTCGTCTGAAAGAGAAAAGAGATATTTGCCATCATTTACGGACAAATAGAAAGTACTAAAGAACTGCACGCTCTCTGGTTGGTTAAATACTTATTTAATGACCATATATTTGTATAATTTTAGCACCAAAAGGGTGCGATTGCGCAGCGTGCGGTACAAAATGTTCACAAGCAGGTTACCATGAACTATGTGGGATGTTGACTTCTCGCTGATACAATTTAATGAAAAAAAACAAGCTTGTCCATTTTTCTGAAATAACAGCGAAATGCTCCCTCATCTTGAGGTAAATTTTAAACTAAGAAATCTACTGTATTGGAAGTAAGGTTTGGAAATTGGGGAATATCAATTGGTGAATATTCGATCGCGTGACGCGTTCAGACCAATGACACGCGAGCTAAAGCATCTGACCGATTCTAGCGTGCCATAGAACTCCTTAACTTGTACGTTTTGTCTACCCATTTTAGGTCATGAGATAATACTCTGGTTAACTGGTCGTTTGAAATGTCTCCTTTTCCACGTCCATATGTTTTGGAGTACGCATAATTTGCGAACGTTGAGAGAAAAAGTTCTCTGTAGTGTCATCACATGACCAGAAATGGCTAAACAAATCATTCAAACTAAAAAGGACAATTAACCATACAGTGCATTTTGTTAGTTCACCAGCGTTATAGCCTGCGCACGATATCGGTGAACCACCAAACATTGGCTCAAGAACTCGTCGTCGTAGTTCATGATTGCAACGACAAACTGTCTTTTGCAATATCGATCTTGGACTATTACGCCAGTAAACAGATAGTTACGATGCATAGCTATTGCGGTAACTAAAAAGAAATTCCCCCTACTTTCGCGTTTGTTTTATCTTTCCTCTGAAATCATCCTCCCAGGCACGCGCCTTGATAGCGCGTATCCCAGAAACCACTTGGTTCGTCAAGGAAATTCGACGATCACCTTCTGCTGCTGAGCGCAGACGCAGCGCAGCGTAGACAGAGGACATCTCGACGTAATAGGGTACAAGAAGACAGAGAAATAACTCTCCAGTTAGAGCGTGCCAGCCAATCAGATACGCGAGCAGAAACGTTGCAACCACGATTTGGAGTGCGCCTGACATCATTACAAAAAACTTAAGAGTTACTGTTTCCATCCGCTGGATATCATTTGATATAAGATCAACCACTCGTCCTGCTGAAAACTTTAACAGTGTACTCTTGCTGAGCAGTAAGATCTGAGAATAAAACAAAACAAATAAATTCAAGGAGACTTCCATCTTTAAAATGTTTAGGGAACAGGTAGCAATTATAACTTGTGTGGCTGGGGGTAAGGGAGGATTTGGAAGATTTTGGGAGGATCATGTGGTTGTCAGTTGGAAGAAAAGGGAATCACCTGTCACCAACATTGTATAAAGAGAGAAACCATTGTAGATTGACGGCTATTGAAGGGGAAGAGGAGCATTTGAATATCACAGAGCTCTCATTGGGACGACAAAGCCAAACCGCACCCCCTCCCCCCTCTTCCGTCATAGGGAACAAATAATGACCGGTCCTTCAATTTAGAACTTGACTGCTTAAAAGGGAAAACCAAAGAGTAATGTTGAATAAAGGCTGATAGTTTCTAAAGAAACTGTTTGGGGCTGCGTCAGTGGGGGTAACGAAATAATTTGGATATATCAACAAAGTTGAAATGGTAAATAGGCCACCGTAACGATTACAAAAGCTGACCTTTTGAGCGTTCGCCCTTCGTTGGAGCGAATGACGAAGGGCTAACTCTCGAGACGTCAGGTTTTGTAAACGTTACGGTGGCCAATTTACCATTTCAACTTTGTTGATATATCCAAAGAGTACTGTGAAAACCAATTATGTTGAAGATGGTACGTGTACACCACGGAGGTAAATAATGCTTTTTGAACGTGCTGATTAGCTAGTACAGAAGATATTAGCAAGTACTATTAACCTTCCCCAGACGCAGAGACAAAATCCAATGTCAAAAGTTTGACGAGACTGAAAATGGACTGGCGCACTATGGTAGTTTTATATTTGATGGGTTCGAAAGGTTGCGGAAATCTTTTGGAGCAAGCACTTAGTCTTGTCAGGCAAAAAACTAGAAAAATGGATACCCTATTTAGACACTATTTGAAAATTTCCTTCACTAGCAGCAAATGTTAGGGTTAGAAAAAAAACTGGGTCGTTAGGCCAAGAAAAAAAGAAGAGAGAATACACTAGTTTTTTCTGTATCCCCTCTGGGGATACCTAGAATGCAAAGGTGAGTTCAACCGACTGGGGTAAGTAGCATGGGATATTATTTTGATTGGTTACAAACGAGAAATAATGGCACGTTGTGTTACATCATGGAAAGAGCGACCAGTCAGCATTTGCAAGTGAGTTACTTCGTGTGTTAAAACATGTTTTTAACAACCAAAGTCGGTTATCTACTCAAAGAGCTATCCATATCTCATCGATCAGAGAACTTGCTGCTGCCACGATACCTGCCCTGACTCGTAGTAAATTTCTGATTACTTCGCTTAAGTCACTGAGAGAAAAGGGAAACTGATTTCCCACACGAACACACACGCACACATGGTGAACAAGTGAACAGTTATGACTACTCATAGACTCAGAGCTAATCGAGAAGTACAAGGGTTCGGTCATATTTTTAAACGCAAAATCGGAACAAGTAGAAAAATGCCCCTTCCGTGAGTGTCTCAGATCGATCGGCTGAGCTATTTACATGGGAAGAATTTCGCTTGAAACTGCTTACTAATTGCTTTTTTGAGATGCTTCATAACAATTGGAAACTTCTCTTCACCGACCACAATCTAAAGTGCGTGAATTAACTTTGGATGAAGATTTTGTGACGTCTGCAACGACAAGGCTAAAGAGGATTAATTCACTTTTCGCGTTCTGAGTATTTTCATAGGGGATGCCAAGAACACTAGTGTTTTCCATTGGGGATGAGTCAGCCACCATTCCTGTGCTCACCTTTTTGTAGACGAGACCTTTTATTGCGTTACTCAATCTGATGCCCAATATTTCACACGCGTAAGCGTGGTGTTGCATGGCAAGGCTGCCGATCAATGTGTTCATAGTCATGGCTGCCGCAAGGAAACAACCGTGAAGTATGGGGTTCGCATGCGTTCCAGGTGACATTAACATGAAAATCAGATATCCAATAAGCAGTGGTGTGACGAGGGAACCAATTCCATAGAGGACACCAGGGAGATAAACATAGGCAACCTCCCTTAGGGAAAGCATCTTCAAAACACTTTTCCAGAGCTTCGGCCTTTTCTCCTTTCTCGTGGATATAGCTTTTTCTTCTTTCCATTTCTTCTCGAGACGATCTGTGACTGATTGTGAGGTGTCCACATTGGAGAGCGGTACAAAATCGCTTTCCTCCAAGGCTCGTTGATTGCCTGTCTTCATGACCTCGTTCATCCATTGAAACAAAAGGATAGAGACAAAACCAACTTTCTCAGTGAATTCATTGGTCGAGGTGATCTTCCTGTAGCCATTCGGCGCCATGATTCTAAACCTCCACTCGTATAATGATAAAATACGATTAATATAAGGGACCCGTTCGTTATCTTGTAGGGGGCTAAGGGGATGGGAGCTTGAAAAGTTTAGATTTTGATCCATTGTTTGGTCGTGTCACGCAACGAGCTCCTCCCGCGAGATCTGCCATTGATTGCTTATAAATTTTTCAGTCCGGGCGGACGGGATATTTCCTGCTGAAAATTCTGTTAGTAAAATGTTTGGGCTACTTTGTGTAACGAGAAACATTGGCAATCACATCTTAACTCTCAGTCCGACTAGAAACGCAAGAGTCCCTAAAGCCCGCCAAAAGTATAGATCAGTCACAATAGTATTCAATTGAATTCTAATTTTTTTTTATTCTAACTAATTCATAGGGGCCAAACAACTAAATCGGCGGAACTGGTATTACACCGAAACGGACTCTAACATTAAACAGCTGTAAGCTGCTGGGTCATTTATTTAATTTTCCTGGTTATAGTTGCGAACCAGTGATTTGAACCATTACGTCTTTAACTATGCATCTTTTGGCTCAAAAGAGGTATTTAAAAAAAGTTTTTTTAAAATTGTTTCTTTAAGATAATTTTACTTACCGGCTTACTTTGTTGTATTGCCCTGGAAAAAACTTGTAAGGCCAGGGGCGAAAATGTGAAACGACAAGTGAAATGTCAGTACCGTTCTTTAAACTCTGTTTGCTCTGTTTGCTCTCCTACCCCAATGAATAATGTAATTTTGCGCGCAGTGGATAAATTCCCATACAATGCGCGTTTTGATTGGCTAAAACAGCGTCCGTTAGGGTTAAAATGCACGAAGTAACGTTGTCACGCCATCGACTAATTTGTACAATGACCAGCCTTTTCCCGGTCCCTTCGCATGGTTTCTTTCCTTTTTTACCAACAACTCTTGCATGATCTGTAAAACGTCTATAAATCGAGCACCTCGACTATGTCTCGTGTTTCCCCTACTTCTTGAGTGCTCTGGCCGCCTTATGCGTGCTTTAAAATAGAATAAGGTCTCTTTATCTGTTAAATAAAGCTTGATCTGCATAACAACTATTTACAGACGACTGCGCTAAGTAAAAACATATCAACTGAATTTAATCTGTTTTGTTCAACTACTCAGACCAATTCGAGTACAGTTTGGATAAAATCGAAATAGAGTACTTTTTTGTCTTTCAAGGGAGCTTTTTCAATCTGTTCCATGAGAAAATATATGTGATGAGTTAATTAAAAATGCATATGAAAAAATTTATTTACGCGGGTTCTTAATTATGCGAAAGCAAAACGCGGGAATCACCTAACATAAATAATTCATTGCAATTTTGTCATTAAATTGGGGTATTGAAAAATGTATGTCTGTCTGTATGTATTTTATGTATTTACGATATTTAGACAGGCCAGCCCATTTCAGCTCAAAGCTGGTTTAAATGGGGGCCTGAACATCCCACCAACCCACCTCAGGGGAGGAAATTACGTGTGTGGGAAATTAACGTCTCCTACCCCAACCATGCAGGAGACTGGACCTCCATTTATTCATCCCTATCCGAGAAGACTAGAATATCTAACCATTTCTTGATGTTATAGAAAGGAAAGCAAAGCAAATTGTTCTCTATTATTTTAAGAACTTGAGTGTTGGTCCGGCCGGGGCTCGAACCCTCGACCTCCCGCACAACAGTCCAGCGCACTATCTATTGGGCTAACTGGGCGGCGGTAAAAAACGCCATTTCATATCATAACTGACCGTAAATAGCAAACTACACGTTTTAAGGCACTAAGGGAATGCGCATTTAACTTATTTGCGAGATGGACTTGTATGTAGATGTAAAGGTTTTTAGAAGTATGTGATTCGAAAATTGCAGTTCAAATCAAGTAGCGATGAGAATCATCTAATGAGAAAAATAAAAACGCATATACAGGTGAAAGTAAATTGCTACCGGCGTTACGTCATTCTTACATGAGCTCACCCAAACACGTGAACTAAAAGTGGTACTGTAGAAAGTAGTACAACAGAAAGAAAAAAAAATACAGTTGCTTGAAAATAATGAGAAACGCGAATTGCAATTGCTATATTGACCACCAAAAAAATGTCCTTATATTTTCTTGCTGACAACTTAATGTACAAAAACTCGCTCGAAAATACTATTACCATTGATTTCGGGAGACAAAGACTTGGATTACATTTTGATTGCAAGATAATTCTTAGTTTGTTTGACGGGTTCCGCTATAGAGGGCCAGTTCCGTACAGGTGGACAAGACATAAACAATCACAATGTTAGGGCTCTTTTGGCAAAAGTGGCACGGCCAGCGTAAGAGTGTATAAACCATAGCAAGAGAATAGAAACTGAGAGAACTCATTCCACATGCATACCCCTCTTCCAATGATGTAAATGGAATGCAGATTTAGGAAGAACTAACGGAGAGAGAGATGGGTTTATCTTAGCCATGAACCACGTCAAAGGTCGAATTAAATGTCACGCAAGATGTAGGCTGCAAGCCCGCTCTTCCTGTTTCAATTTGGTTAGTTCAGTCAGCGGAGAAAACTCAGCGTTGCGAGAACGGAAAAATCGAAAAGGTATGCCTCCTCATTTCGTGTTAGCGTAGTTTTAATTCTTTTATGTCGAGGGAAAAGAAAACAGAACAACTAATTATTTACCCTCCAAGTTATCGTTTTTGCAGGAATCCGCTGCGTTCTCATTGACACAGTCATGACCATTAAATGATGATCTTTAGCACTTAGGACGGCAACGCCAAGAAAGAGGTTGATTTAAAATGAATTTCTACTTTTGATTAGAATTTCGAAAGTGGTTGCATGTGTTTACCATTCCTAACGGCGCCACACCTCAACCTCAGCATAACATGTATTCGCAGACGACGCAAATTTTGGTGATTACACGTTGCTGTGTTGCAAAGGACGGCTTAGAAATGTACAAAGTTTTAAAACGTACGACTGTCCAACTTATCCGACGAGAGTTCGTGAACTGTTCATTTATAGGAAACTGTTTTCGATAACTTAAAGATCTCAGTGACTTTAACATGGAAAAGCTTATCCTTTTAATGCAAATTGTATGATCAGATAAAGAAGAAATTTAGTGTGTTCACCTGTCTTTAAATTTCGATACTACGTGAGGCCGCGGTTTGTACAGCAAGGGATTAGAATATTTTAATGTAAAAACCATTTTAAATGGGATTCCGCCATAGCCGAGAATCTCAAGGTCCCTTTTTAACAAAAAAATTATCTTTTAAAATGAAACTCACCTCACTCAGCTAAGGGCGAAAGTCTGTTTCTGAGTGTATTTTTGCAACCGAATGTCTAGGAAAGTGAAAGTACCCTAGTTTGTCTTAACTTTGTAAACAACTTGCAGTTTTTGATAGTTGATTGTGTTAGCCTTTTGTTTGCGTCAGTGATTACGCGAGCCTCCAATTGTGTCCGATGATTGAAGAAAAAAAAAATGTTCCCTCGACCACATGTCAACCAAAGGGAAAGAACATTAGCAACATCCAGCTTTGACGAATAAGTGAATTGACTTTCATTTCAATTTTCAATCAACTTGTTTAATGATCAACGGAAAATTATTGTTGGAAATACTTTTGGTTGAATGTATTTGCTTTTTCATCGCAAATGAGACATTTGACGATAAAAACTTGCGACAAAACGTTGCTTGATAACATTGTCAAATTTAAAAACGATAAAAAGCTATAGAAAGCTAAAATCGACGACGTTTTGACGTTAACATAACGTCATTATCAAGTCAAGAATGTATAAAAATAAGATCTATAAATACTAAAAACGAACAATAAGAGAAAATAATTTGCGGGTTAAACAAAAAGTTTAGCACGTATGGAGTCCGTTTGCACGTTGAGATTAGGTTTGAATTTCTTAATATAAAGCATTTCAAACACTAAACAATCAAATTTGCTTTGACGCTTTCTGAGAATCTTAAAATGACTATCACTCAAACGATCCCTCCTACCATGCGCTTCACGAAAATACTTGCCAATTGCCGAGTTTTTGTGTTCAGCGACACGTTGAAAAATGAGACATGACAGATTATACAGTGGACACAATAGAATACGTGCATTTACGAAGTTGGTTGTGTTTTGAATGTATAATTAGTCAACTCGATGAGTTTAATAGAGGCTTCAACTATTAAAATGAAAATAAAACTTTGAAAGAGTCTTATACGCTACTCTTATTAGAATCTATGTTTTAAAATTACCATTAAAAAAGAAAATTAAAGAATGAATGAAAAATAATTTAATGAAAAATTGAAGGTATTTATGCTGATAGTAGTGTGATTGTCTGGGAGAATCTAATAATCTGTTATTAGAATTCCGCTCCGCGGGACATTGCAACTGATGCCAATCACTTTCATGGACGTTAGCTCTTTTCAGGACAATCCGGGGGGATTGCTGGACTTTTCCTTCTGGGTTAAAGCAGTTTCTACAAACATTTCCTCTTGTCGTGCAGCTGGAAGTTCAACAACAGCCAGTGTTATCGGCGACAGCGAACAATCTAAAAACCACGCATAAATGGCCATAAATATGACTTCTTCTGTCTCAGAAAATTCACAGAGATTTCTAGATTAAGCAATTCCCTTTGAAAGTGATGCTCTATGATAGAGAAACACTCGTGTTTTTTAGAACAGTGCCTCAACTTTTTGCAATTTTGCTGCTTAACCAAGTGTTGATATGTCTGACCATGTTCAAACCGCCTGTATTAGTCTCAGACATACCTTAATTGTCTCATGACGCTATTTAATGACTGAGTAACACTAGCAGGGTAATTAGTGGTTAGCTTGAAAACTAAATTTAGACTTATCAGACATATCAATAACCGAACATCCTTTCATAGTGAGCATGGGAGCAGAACGATTCACCGCTCTTGCTGGAACAACTCAGATAAGTAACTGAAGTGAGTGTGTGTATGAAAGCGTTGCGGGGGGAGCACAAGAGTGTGTCACCTCCCCCCTTTTTAATGCTGTCATTAAATTGAGGTATTGTAAAAAACCATACAAAGCGCCATTTTATGTCATAACTGACCATAAATAACGAACTACACGTTTCAAGCACTAAGCGAATGCTTATTTAATTTATTTGCCAGATGGACTTGTATTTAGATGTAAAGGTTTTTAGAAGTATGTGATTCTAAATTTGTAGTTCGAATCAACTAGCGATGGGAATTATCTAATGAGAAAAAACGCATATACAGGCGAAAGTAAATTGCTACCGTCGTTACGTCATTCTAACATGACCTCACCCAAACACGCAAACGAAAAGTGGTACAATCAGAAAGAAAAAAATATACTCGATTGAAAATAATAAGAAGCGCTAATTCTTATTGTTACAATGACCACCAAGAGAATATTTTTATATACTCTTACTAACAGTTTAATGTACATAAACTGGCTCGACAATACTACAACCATTGATTTTGGGAGAAGAAATTGTATTGTATTTTGCTTGAAAGATAATTCTTAGTTTGTTTGAGAGATTCCGCTCTAAGTGACAATTCGGTACAGGTGGAGGACTATACATAAACAAACAATTTTAGGACTCATGGTAAAAGTAGCACTGCCTGCATAAGAGTACATAAACCATAGCAAGAGAATAGAAACTGAGAGAACTTATCCCACATGCATACCCCTCTTCCAATGATCTAAATGGAA